CCCAAACCCCCAAACCAGCAACAGCAGTTAAGGGTTTCAGCACATCAAAGCAGTTTTGGGGATTACTATTCACATAAGGCATTATGTTATTAACTGAATTTGTACAGAAAAAAATCAAAATTTAATGACCTGTATCTCATTCAATGATTAATACCAAATAGTTTGCATTTTTCTCAGCTATCACATTATTTCAAACTAAATAGAATTTAACTGTTAGAAATAATACTGGCTTTCTGAAACTGATCCTCTAGCAGATTTTAATGTACTTACCATTGTTTTGACAATGTTATTGGGCCAAGTCATTTTCCCAGGCCGCTGTCTAGTTGTCATACACTCCCAGTATTTATCAATAAATGGTATAATATCCTATTTGTAAGAAGTAAAATACATTAAGAATTATAATTGTTTTCAAAGTTATACACACAGCCCCTTTTAAAGCCGTCATTACAATCAAAACAAAGATTTTAAGTTCATGGCTCAGTCTCAGCACTTGGCTTAGGCAGGAGGTGGCTGTGAATCTCAGGTCAAACAACAAACCACCAACCAAATATATAGATTTGGGGCATTTCAAGTAAGTCTATACAGATTTTTAGTTACTCAGGGCTGACAGTCCACTAAAGGATAAGTTATACTCCCATCTCTTGGTTGTCAACTGAACGGTGACTTCTGTCCTGAGGCCCTTTTCTTCCTGACACTGTGCAAACCGTATCTTTTTTATAATTAAGATAGAGTTCTGTACCTCCTTCCCCCACACCCGGGCCTGTAGCTAGCAGTTAAAAGGACCATCTGCAATGGGCAGGCGGCCCCAGTTATGTGCTAGCAACTGCTATGGCGCTGCAGCTTAACCCCCGACGCCATGAGGAGCGCTGGGGGCTCAAAGGCAGCGCGTGGGTTCTGCACCTTCTAAGTTTGCTTTGTAGAGGTCTATTTTTTCTTATTTACAATTACTGACCACTCAGAATCATAAACTATAGATACCCATAACTCGTCTGTTACTTTATAACCACAGTCATTACACGAATTTGAAAGTCAGAAACTTCGCCTGTCAGACTCCTCTCCATCTACTCTGGCGGTGACCGGCCTGCCAGCTGCTGCTCACAGGACAAAATCGATGTCTGACCTTGATTCTCTGGCATCACCGTTTTAGACCATCTCACAGAACCCTCTACCATACAGTCAATCCCATGAAAATTAAGTATTCACCAAACAGAAAAGGAAATCGGAGACAGTGTAGAGAAAGCTTAGACTACTCTGTCATTCTGAAAACAAGGAGTTCAGAAGCTCATGGGGACATGCCAAAGGTTTGGGCTATCAAGGTGACAAAATTATCCTGGTCAGAAGTTTGACAATCAAATGTCAGAAATCTGGTGAACAATAATAGTTTGTATTATTGCTTCTAGGGTAAATGAAAGAAATGTGAGATTAAGTCAAACACAAGACAGAATAATAAAGACAAGGTAAACACAAGCTGTGAACCACTGTCCTGTATTACAATGTGTTTTACAGTGCACTTTTCACTAGCGAGACCCACTCTACAACAATGATAAAATCATAGCACAGCAGTGTATCTTGGTGGCTCTCATCCTTCTCATCTTTGCCTGCTGCCCATAATGGCCCTCACCTAGCCAGTTAGCAATTTTTCCCTGCAGGCCAGAAACCAGGCAGCCAGTTCTGTGCTCCTGCTAGGGAAAGAGGCAGGGAGGCAGAAGCAGTGAGACTGAGTTTGAAGAAGCCAAGTTCCAGGCCAGCCAAGGCTATATAGAGACTGGTTTACAGCAGACTTGATTATGGGATAGATGACTTACTTGCTTTCAAAAAGCCAACCAAGTTTACTTAAGAATTTGTAATACTAACAGCTAAGCCAAATGACACCAACTAGGAAACTGGTAAATTACTATTTCCATATATGGAATAAACGAGGTAGCTACTAGATGATTACTCATAAAAACCGAGGAGACTATTATACTTGTTAAAGAAGAAATCTAGAAGTTTCACTTGATTCTGTAGCATACTGCAATTACATTAATTCTAACTCTACCTTATCTTTGGAGAACATGGTTTTTGGATGTTCATCCTGGGTTCGAGACTGCCATGTTAGGTTCGCCAAAGCACTAAGGCACATTTCTTTTAAATCTATCAAAAAAAAAGGGGGGGGGGATGTATCTGTAAAACTCGATTTCTATCAATAAGAGCATATTCAACACAGTAGGTGTGATGGTTAGTTTCAACTTGACACAACTTGACTCTTGAGGGATGAGCTACATCAGGCTGCCTGTGGGTTATCTTGAATCTGGAGACTTCAGAAGGCTTGCCCACTATGGGCAGTACTATGTCCTGGGCAGGGGATCCTGAACTGTATACTAGAAAAAGCAAGCAGAGCTGAAACATGCTGTTCTGTGTTTCTAATTATGGGGTCAACCTGGTCAGCTCCCTCAAATGTCTGCTGCTGTGTCTTCAGTCATGGACTGTGAGCCCCCCGCCCCCGAAACCTTTTCCCTTACCAGGTAGAGAAACCAAGATAGTGGTCTACAAAATAATAACAGGAACAGTCAAAAGTAATAATTTGGCTTGAAATGGGCAACTGCAATTATTCAGAGAGAAATACCAAGCTAATTCTAGTCAGTTCTTAACAAAGGTAATCTAAGTGTGCTAACCCAGATCCCTTTTGTTTTCCAAGGGACAATCTTTTAAAAATACTCCAGAGTTATTCTTACTTGCTTGCTTCCGGAGAAAGTAGGTATTCCCACTGTGATGGCACACATTGCAATGGAAACTGTAGTTGGTCATAAAAGGTAGACATGATCTGTGGATAAGCCAAATTACACAAAATTAGTGAACTCCTAAACATATTCCTAAGCATGTTTTCTTCCTTTAAAAAGTTTATTTATTATTATTGTTGTTGTGTGTATACATGATACACGTATGGCACACTTGCCAAGATACACACATGGGAGCGGAAGGCCAACCTGTGGCTCAGTTCTCTCCTTCCAACTTCATAAAAGTTGCAGGGATCAAACTCAGGTGGCCAGGCTTGCCTGAGAAGTGTCTACCCACTGAGCTATCTCACCAACCCACTCTGGCTTTTTCTGCGACGGGGTCCTGATTTACAATTAGCTTTAGCCTGTACTGACTGAACTTGTGATCCTCCTACCTTAGCTTCCTAAGTTCCTGAATTACAGGTATGCATCACTAGCTCCACTCAATATACATGTTTTTTTCCTTTCAAGGTCTTGTGGTACTGCCCTGCCTAGGCTGATGTTCAATATCCAGCCAGCCTGGCCTCAAAATTTAACCATAAAGACTGATTGAAAGGCAGGATGATTTCTGCATTTTTTTAACGGTTTATTTTATTTTGAAAACACTGGTGTTTTGCTGCATGCATGTGTGATGGTGAGATGGTAACAGGAGTTACAGACAGTTGTGAACTGCCACGTAGGTGCTGGGAAGTGAATCCAGGTCTTCTGGAAGAGCAGACAATGCTTAACCATCGAGCTATCTATCTCTCCAGCCCCAGATTTCTACAAAGGGTGTTTCCAGACCAGCCAGGGCTACCCAGTTAGAGAACCATCATAAGAGCTACTCACACTGAGTCAAAAATGCTCACCTACTAGCTACTGAGCTAGTCCATAGAAGAGGAGACCCAATCAGTCATTATGTGATTCTATTTCTCCAGAATAGATGCTTTGATTAAATATGTGTTTAGGCACAAGTTGGTTTTTTTTTTCTGACAGAGTATAAGATACTTATATAGGGGTAGATTATAAGCAATTAGAAAGGAAACAAAGTATACTTTAGGCATGAAAAACGTACACACAAAGATTAGCTCAGTGTTCTTGAGAAAGTAAAAAAATGTCTTTCTGATGATGGTGATCCATCCAGGGTTCTGCACACAGTGGCCGAGGCATTACTACTGGACTGTCTGCCACACCTTCAAATTTTTGTGACAACAGGCTTTACCATTGTAAATATCAAACCCAAAATATAAAATTAAATATAAATTAAAAATGTCTCAGATCTAATTATATAATCTCTTCTAGTTATATAGTCTTATTTCCCAATCACTGTAAGTTTAAAAGCAAGGGCATGCCTAATAGGGCGCTGCTCTCAATACTTAAATACACACTAAATGACAATAACTCTTCAGTCAGCATCAGGTCACTGAACAGGGGTTAGGGTGAGCACAATATACTACCCACCGATCTACAAACTGAAGCAACTGTTGAATATGCCAAAGAAAGTTCTTTTCCTTTGGTGTTTTTAAAAATGTCTTTCGATTTTTTGAGATTATAATATGATTACATAATTTCCCTTTCTTCCCTCCCTCCTAGTCTCCCATGCCAACCCTTAAAATTATTTTGCCTGGTCTACAGACTGAGTTCCAGGACAGGTTCCAAAGCAACACAGAGAAACCCTGTTTCGAAAAAACAAACCAAACAAAACCAAACAAGTCGGGAGAGGGTAGCAGATCCCCCATAGCTGGAGTTCCCTGACCACTGTGAGCTGCCACATGGATGCTGGGAATCAAACCCCAACCTCTGGAAGAGGAGCCAGTGCCCTTCCAGACATCCTGAGTTCAATTCCCAGTAATCAGATGGTGGCTCACGACCATCTAAAATGAGATCTGGTGCCCTCTTCTGGCCTGCTGCCATACATGCAGGCAGAAGAACAGTGTATACATAAATAAATCTTAAAAAAAAAAAAAAAAAAACAACCAAAAAACCATGACATGTACTCACGATGTGTCTATTCCGAAGGTGTCAGCGGTAAACCATTTTGTACATATTCCACACTGCAACTCCACCTCTCCCAATTGTCGACCGTTCTCTTCATCCACAGAGCCCACCTGGGTATCCATGGCTTCTGAAGTATCGCCAGCACCTTCCTGGAGGCACGGGGCAAGAAGACAATCAAACAGGTTGGCTGACTACGTTTTTAAAAATTAGATTAAAAATCTTAAAACAAAATCTAGTTTGCCTTTCAAAGGCGTAAGATGATACTTACTAGAGTATCTTTCCCATTAGAAGATTCTGTCTCCAGACCACTTACATCAACCAAGTTTGCATCCCTGTAAAGAAAGTAAGAGATTTCAAGATAAACAAACTTCAAAATACCTACCCCGAAACCAAACAACAAACAAAAACCGTGGAGGCAAATACGGATGGACTTCCCAGTCTAAGCCTGTCCTGGACTGGATGACCAGGGAAACAATCCGAACATTAGAAGGGATAGTCAAGACAAACACAGTGAAGCCTAATGGGTCGTTCCAGCCATCTACACGGCTTAGAGATGGTCCTAGGGGGGGAAAGAGTCACGGGGATCTGCGTTTCCTAGGGCTTTCAGAAGGATTGTGGCTCCTTCCACACCGGCACCGACGGGAGATGCCCTTCCTGCGCTATTTCAGGAACTAGGATTAGGAGAGGCAGGAGGATGGCAAGGGCGGGAGCGAGGGAAACTTGCTTGGCTCACACGGGCGCTAAAGGAAAAGAAGTCTGAGGCGCAGTTCCGAGCCAAGCAGCCTGCGGGGCTGCAGAAGGCACAGCGCAGGCCGAGCCGTTGGCCGCAGGGCCTGGGTCGGGAGGGCCGCACCGGAGCGGCGCGAACCCCGGGATGGCACGAGGGGCAGGCCCTCCGTCTCGCGCTCTCGCGGGCTGCAGATGCCTTACCCACTCTCAGCCTCTCCGGAGCCGGGCTCCGCTCCCGGAGCAGCAGGCGGCCCCTCTCCAGCCGCGGCGGCCACCGACTCCGTCTCTCCCTCCTCTGCCGTGCTGGCGCTTGCAGCCGCTCCAGGACCAGGACCGGAGCCCACTCCAGGGCCAGGACCTGCCCCAGTGGCCGCCATTGCTACCCCTTCGGCGGCTCTCGCGAGACTAGCCTCTGTTCAGTGAGT